TTTTTTTTTTTTTTTTTTTTTTTTTTTTTGTGTGTGTGTGTTGGAATATGCCGACCTGAAGTTTTCAGCCGTCTTGGGAACTATGTCGGCGAACAGCTCCATCTTTATCCTGCCTGCGGATACCCCGCCGATCTTGACGTCAAAGAAAACCACAGGGTTCTTCGGATTCGGCGGCCGCTGATGCCATTCAACCACCCCCGCCATATCGCCCGCTCCCCTCCGCCCCTTCCTCCTGGTAGCGCCCGCGCGTATGCGCGTCCACGACAGGGCACGGGACGCAGTTCCCGAAGAGCTCTCCTCCCTCTGGACTCCACCTGCCGAAGGAATTCTGGCAAACTGGGAGATCACCAGAAGATCACCCTCTCCTCCTACGGTAGGGGGGGGGGGGGTTGCACGTCGGGTGGCATGAACAGCCCCTTTTTGCCTTCCTGCACACGCCACATTGGGCCTCGCTCTACCAGGTAGTACTCGCCCCACGGACAAAAGACAAAAGAACTGGCGGTGCATCGTTCCATGTACTAGCCAAAGATTCGTGCTGATTTATTTTTTTTAATTTTTTTTTTATTTTTTTTTAGGAAAGTTCATTGTATTCCATGACACAAATCCAGAGGCCGGGGATTTTGCCCTTCACTCCTCTGTTGTTCCAAGCCCTCCTCGCCCAAGGGCGCGCGGACATGAAATTCAAACCAGGCGGCGGCACCATGCAGAAATAAAATGAAACCAGAGCCAGGAATTGCGTCCATGGACCCGCCATATCAGTCAGATAAAAGGGGGCTGGTGGTGGGGTTTAGAGATGCTGCTAAGGATTTACCCAGGAGCCTCCCCGAAAGTGGTAGCGGTGTCTGCTCTTATCAGCACCCCTATCACCACCTCGGGTTGTTTTTCCAAAAAAAAAAAAAAAAAAAAAAAAAAAGCCAAAAGCGGATCTGGTCAGGGCTTATGAGAACGGCTGGGCCGGGCTGTTCACAGAGGAACCATCAGGTTTGAGGGTCCTGACATATTAGCCCATGTCGCTAAAGATAGAGTGGTTTGAGCTTTGGCTAATAGAGAGGAGGGAAGACGAAGTGTTGCTCGTTGGTACCACCTACGCCACGAGCTTCAGGCCATGGATGACTGGACACGAATGGAGAGACTTCAGAAGGTTAGAAATGCGTAATGCGTAATACCTTCCGGGTAACGGCTCGACAAGTTCCTTCAATGCGATCGTATACACCAAAGCAGCGAACAGAAGGATAGTAGGAGCAATCATGGAAGACTATCCTCCGATGAGAGAGAGAGAGAGATGCCTGAACTGATGAACCTGAAGTACGAAGTTGGTCCTTCGGGACATCCGTTAAAATTGGAACAATACAGAGAAGATTAGCATGGCCCCTGCGCAAGGATGACACGCATAAATCGAGAAATATGAAGTTGACGTCCAGTTCAGGGAGTGAATGGTGGATAAAATATGGGTTAGGACAGACGACAGAGACATGGGAGAACTCAAACTACCGTCTTCCCCCGAACATCACGCATATGCGTTGTAAATGAGTACAACGCATACCGTGCGCTGTATTCGTTTACAACGCGTATGCGTTATGTTTGAGTGAACAAGACCAACTTTGCCTGCACAAGGGGGTCGAGTCCAGGCTGAGTAGGCTCAGTTCTGGACCACGGCTGGGGGCCTCAGAGCCTTGGCAAAAAGGTAAAAGAAAAGTAGCGACGTACTTTTCCATGTTTTGGGTTGAGTTTCATTCCTTTCCCCTTTTTGGGTGCTTGCTCCACTCCTCAGCAAATCTGCAAAATGCGAATGAATCTTCCGCTAAAACGTGGACAAATACAACCCCTTTCTTTTTTGTCTCGGTGGCCATGGTAGTGCAGCGAAACCTTGGTGCGTGGCTTTCTTATTTTTCCACTTTCTTGGCCGCGCCACATTCTTGGTTGTCAGAAGCGCCTTCGCGCACAAAGAGAGAGAGAGAGAGAGAGAGAGAGAGAGAGAGAGAGAGAGAGAGAGAGAGAGAGAGAGA